ATATTATATATTATATATTATAAAATCTATGTAATATTAATATTAAATGTTGTAAATTATTTACTAAGTAAGTAATAAATATTTATATTTGTAATTAGAGAAGGATTATACGGTAAACATTAGTTTTATTGATTGTATCCCTCAATTTATCAGGGAAATGATACGAAGTAATTTAAAAACAATCAAATTAAAATACATTAATATAAAATATAAAAATAATTATTGGTTTGAATATGTGTTAGAAAACTTAATTAAATTTTATTTAAGATATTTGCTGAAGGCTTTCAACTGAATTAATTATTTGATTTCTAAGACTTCCGTCTCATACAATCAACAATTATTTATATCGTATTTCCATGTTTTGTATACAAATAATATTAAACAATACACACTTTTGTTTTGTTTTATTGTTTCTAACCATATTAATTGAGTTATATTATATTGAATTTAGCTAATTCGTAGAAATAATTTGAAATAAAATATGTTATTTTAGTTAATAAATCATTAGATTATTATCTCAAATCATTATATTAGAATCAAATATAAAAACCTTTAAATAATTGTGAGTTGTTATCCTTCAGTTTTGAATCCAAAATAGAAATATTCAATAAATATTGTTTTTTGTTTTAAAATTAAATTAAGAAACACATAATATTTTAAAATGAAGTTTTAATTTATTTAAGTTGTTCATTGAAAACTTGTTTTACAATTATTTTTTTCAACACTTTTATTTATTACTTTAGTAATACAATTATTTTCATATTAGGTTTTTGTATTAAAGTAGGATTTAAATATAGAGTTTATGACATATTGATAAGAAAAAATGTCTAAACCTATAAAATTAATAATTTTGGGGGCTATATCGGGGTTTATTTGTATGGTGCTACTTGTGTGGTTATGTTCAAGATCTAGTGCAGGTTTGTTAATATTTTATATTATAATTATTTACTAAATTACTAAAATTTAAATAGGATTTAATAATCCAGAGAAAGAGTCGTATGCATTGATCCGTTTAAACAATGGACAGCTCATACCTAATATTGGTTTAGGCACCTGGGCTATGGATGATGACCAGGCCAGGGAGGCAGTCAAAGAGGCAGTTAGTGTTGGTTATAGACATATAGACACCGCCTGGAGATACGGCAATGAAGTGGGTGTGGGTCAGGCCCTCAAAGAACTGTTTGAAAGCAAACAACTGACCAGAGATGACATCTTTATAACCAGTAAAATATGGAATACCTTTCACAGCAGACAACTGGCTGTTAAAGGCATAGAGGAATCGCTCAAGAATTTAGGCCTCGATTACTTGGATTTGGCTTTAATTCATTGGCCGACGGGTTTCAAAGCAGGAACCGATGATATATACCCCCGAAGAGACGACGGATCTATTATGCCGTCGGATAATGACATTGTGGACACGTGGAGGGGAATGGAGGATCTGTACAGAAATGGTTTGGCCAAAAGTATAGGTGTTTCCAACTTTAATATTAGACAATTGGAGAGAATTATAAGACAAGCCTCGATAAAGCCGTCCGTTAATCAAGTATTGAGTGAAAAATTAATTTTATAAATATTTATTATAATTAAAAATCTGTTTATTTCTCAAAGTTTGAAAGACATCCCTTTCTGATACAACAAGAGTTAGTGAATTACTGCCAAAACCATAGCATAGCTGTTATAGCTTACAGTCCGTTAAGACAAGCGGATCCGCAGTTGTTAGAGAATCCGGTGCTCAAAGATATCGCCCAAACTCACAACAAAACTGTGGCACAGGTAGCACTCCGATGGCAAATAGAAAGCGGTGTTATTGTGATCGCAAAGAGTAGTAGGAAAGAGAGACTGATTGAAAATATGGATATATTTGACTATCAATTGAGTGATCAGGAGATGAAAAGGATTTCAACACTCGATCAGAATAAGAGATTAATAGATATTCCGGGCATTCAATCACACTCTGAATATCCGTTTGATAATTGAATTGTTTAATAAGTTGTAATTAATATATGAGAATAAATTAATTTATGTTTTATTTGCAAGTTCATATTTTCATTACATTAGAATGTGATATTCAAAGTTATATTTTTGGTTTGGTTATAATTATTAAATATATATACCGTTAAAACTTGCTGAATTCATAAAATATTTTTAATGTGAAAACAAGCAACCTTAAGTAAGCAAGGAAATTAATTAAGAGTTTGACAATAAACTTACCTATATATGCAAAAATTAAGGGTTTCTTTCAGAATTTAAAATAATTTAAGAATTCATCAAGTTTGTACGGTATATAGTTATAACACCTTTTAGGTAGACTACTAATTATTCATATACATTATGTAAAATCCTGATTAGACTGAATTATTCTGTTTAAATGTTTATATTAAAACCTAAACAAAAAGTATAAGTATGGTGATTTTTAATTACAATAATAAATTCTATGATTGATGTGTAAGTTTAAAATCAGGCAATGACTCGCATTTTATAGGGCATTAAATGTCTTTTCAAAGACTTCTTGAATCTAATGCCTTCCTCTGCGTGAAGACAATCGGTGTAAATGTTTGGCATATTTTCCATCGACAGACGCTTTATTGCCATTCCCTTTGATGTTTGTCCTAAAATATAATTCATAGCTCATAGTAACAGGATTTTTTATGACACTGCTTAACTATAATAATTAATCAATATATAGATAAATATAATTAATAAATGAAGTGATCAGGGACATACCGCCCATCATTTGTAAAGCACTGATGAGTTCAACACATTGGCGTCGAGAAGGACCCGTCTCACACACTATAGATATGATGCCTATTATACACAGAATTTTAAGCAAAGTGATGGAAAAAGACCACAAACTCATTGTTAATGTTTACACCACTTGTTTGATACGAAAAGTGATGCCACCGAGTCTTATGCAGTGATATATAATAGAGAATATTTTTAATAAAGTTTCACTCAAAGTCTCACATTTAATCCAATTTCAAGACTAACTTCAATAGGATAACATATAAAATATTCAATATATTTCAAAAGTAAGGATTATTTGTACAAAGGATGTTTTTCATTATGTATGTCAAATGATTTATATTTAAATCATATTTTATTTATAGTTTTTATCAAGAATTTGCGTAAAAGATTGAATTTTAATAAAATTGATAGTAAACAAGGCGTTAGGGTTTTCGCAATAGGTTTCAATGTGAATACTTAATAAGTTATTGAAGTTTTAAGATTAAAAACAAATTTATAAACAGATCTTTAGTGCAAAATATGTAATGAATATATAATAACTTTATCAAATTAAAATATTTTATAATAATCGATTAAAATGACTATGCGCATATTGTACCCTACGGTATACTTAAAAATAAAAGCTTATGAACATTTATCATGTAAATTATATCCGTTATTATAATATAATATTCTCTAAAGGTATTCAATTAAATTATGAAATATTAAAGAGATTTAAATCTTATTCTATTAAGAATATTAAATATTTTAACAAATGTATGATAGATACATAGATTTTGTATTAAAAATATAAAGGTGTGATAAATTGAGATTTGCAAAAGGTTGTGAACTTTCAATATGCATGCAAATAGTGGTTTTATATTTTTAGAAAAAATATTAATAAAAATAAGGTAAAAATAAATAACTCCACTTGTAAACAATTTTGCAACTCTCTCTCTCTCTCTCTCTCTCTCTCTCTCAAAAAAATATACAAAAATACTTAATTTAATAATGTACAAATAAGTTTAACAAAGAGTTATTCGATAAATCAATCTTGATAATAGTTTATTAAGTGCATTTGTTGAACTTATAATATTTTGAATATTTAAAGTCATTGACCAAATGTTAAAACTGTAATAATCTAAGTTAAAGCACAAATACAAGTGTTGAGATGAATGAATTGGAAATTCATTGTAGAATTTCTATAATTTATTGAAAATATACAGTACTATAATATTACACAATATAAAAATAGTTTAAACTTTTAAATAAAACAAAAATCCAAACCATATTACAAATAACTTGTATTTCAAGTCTATTCAAACGGAAGAATTTCAAAATTATATGAAATCTCTATTCTATAAAAATGCGGTAAAAGTTTTAAGTGATTATTTCGTTGAGGGTTTTTGAAATAACATAATTTTAGATTTTTTTTGTAATTTTGTCAACTCTTATATAGTTCCGTTGCATATTTAGTAAAAATATTTATAATTTACTTAAAATGAAGAAATTTTTTGTAAGCTTGTATTTAATTTTCATTGTAATTAATAATCAAAATAGTTATGTTAATTCATCAGATATTAAAAACAAAACATTTTATGAACAAAATTGGATTCAAATATTTAATTCATTTAAGTCTTATATGACTGAATTTAGTGAACGGTTTATAAATGATNTTAGTAATCAAAATAGTTATGTTAATTCATCAGATATTAAAAACAAAACATTTTATGAACAAAATTGGATTCAAATATTTAATTCATTTAAGTCTTATATGACTGAATTTAGTGAACGGTTTATAAATGATATCGAAAACAATGAAAATAGACTTAATATAACACCAATTTGTGCCAATAGTTTGATACAAATGTTTGATAGAGTGTTGGTTGAGGAATGGGCTGCAAAAAGTATGTATTCACTAATGCTTTTAATAATAAAAAGCAAAATTATTTTTAATTTTTAAATTATTTTTTAAATATTTGTTATTTTAATAAATCTAAGTGATTGACTCCAATGGACGGCCACCTTCAGGTGTGTTGAAGGGAACGGTAACTAATTTTGGTGACTTCGATGAGTGCATCAAAATAAATGCATTGAATAGTGAGAACAATACGAGAATTAAAGGAAAGTATTGTTTCGCAACCATCAGACCCTTTAGGAGTAAAAAGTTTGAATCAATACGACTGAACCAAACACAGATCAACAGTAAGTGGTTTGAAGATGAAGTAAATCAATGGTTAGAAGTGGATAACTTTTTGCCATTTGCTAGTGGCATATGCTTTCCATCCGTTTGTCATAAAAACGAGATTAAACTCCTTTTGAGCGAAAGTAATTGAGAAAGGTTTTAAAATATTATTTAATAAAATATTTATTAATTTATAGGTTTTAAAATATTAAATAATTTTGACTTTGATGTCGATTATTGCCAATCAAATAATGATCCTCCGGTACATAGAAGGGAATTATCAATTGCTTTGTAAGTCCTAACAATATACTTGATAATTTTACAAAATGTTTGATAACATATTTATACATTTGACAGAATAATGATTGAATTGAGTATATTGCTAGTAATATTGGGAACTATAATAGATTTGTGTTCGTCAAGAGACTTACATATAATTCATGGCCTCAAATGCTTTTCAATATTAAAAAACATAAAAATATTGTTCAAAATATCTGCTCTCAAGAATAATAAAAATGAATATCGTTTGCAATTCATTCACGGCATACGAGTGTTGGGCACTCTATGGGTTATATTAGCGCATTCAAGTGGATTTGTCCTGATCACCATTTTGACCAAATTATCGCCATTAAGAATAATAAAAATGAATATCGTTTGCAATTCATTCACGGCATACGAGTGTTGGGCACTCTATGGGTTATATTAGCGCATTCAAGTGGATTTGTCCTGATCACCATTTTGACCAAATTATCGCCATTTGCCAGATATCCTGAAGATGCCATTGATAGCAGTCGATCACTTGTCGCTCAGTATATACTCAACGCCTCACTATCGGTGCAAATATTCTTTATAATGAGGTATTCATACATTTAGTATAATAACTGTTATTTAAGTTATTTTTATNTCCTGATCACCATTTTGACCAAATTATCGCCATTTGCCAGATATCCTGAAGATGCCATTGATAGCAGTCGATCACTTGTCGCTCAGTATATACTCAACGCCTCACTATCGGTGCAAATATTCTTTATAATGAGGTATTCATACATTTAGTATAATAACTGTTATTTAAGTTATTTTTATTTTATAGTGGTTTCCTAACAGTATATTCGACACTTTCGAGTAAAAGTTTAAAAGTAAATTTTACACAATTTGTTTTACTTCGATGGCTCAGGTATTTAGTATAAAATGAATTTTGAATAATATTCAGTAATACTAGTAATACTAAAATTGTGAGAATTGTGTTTAGATTCACACCACCGCTCATAGGAATGATGTGTTACACGATTGCACTGCAAGTGTTTGGTTCGGGACCACTGTTTCAAACGGATTTATTGAAGCCATACTTAGATCCCTGTTATAACAACTGGTGGGCACACCTGCTCTTTGTGGTCAATTGGTTTGATTTAAGACAAATGGTTTGTTTATCATGATCATATACAATATGGTTGTCCTTAATTAACACATTCCTAACAATTCCTGATTTAGTGTGGAATCCAGACGTGGTATCTGAGCGCTGACTTCCAGTTACATATACTTTCATTTGTTGTCATATATTTTTATACAAAGAACCAGTCGATTAGTCGGTGGTATACTTACTTAATGATAGCATTAGGATCACTGGTACCCATATTTTTGGTTGGATTGGGCTTCGGTGGTATTCCCAGAGTTGATGTGCTTTTCAAACCTAAATACGAGTAATTATAACACAATTGAAAAAATTTAATAGCAAAAGGCTTACTTATATACTGTAGTAATTTTATTAAACTTTGTTTCATAGAGTGCCGGGTCTTGAGACAACATTATTTTTCTTTGGCACTCATATGCATCTCATTTCATATTTTTCTGGTGTTATCATTGGTTTGGCACTACTTAACAAACAATTTATTTCACTTTCAAAGGTTAAATGTCAAAAAAGATAATGTAAATTATTGTAATAATAAATTATTTGTAATACCCAATTAGACCTGGAACAACGTTGTTTGGTTAATTGTAATATTACTGACAATTGCCATTCCCGGCCTAACATATCCTATTTTACAAGAAGACATACCACCAGTTGATAACA